TCGAGATAATTCTTCACCCCAAGCCGCCCGAACTCCGCCTCCCTCGGCACTTACTAGGAAGGCTATACGCAGCAAGATCCCATTATGGAGACTTTGTAGCATACCACGAGAGATTCGCTCATCAAGATGCGTTGCTTAACTGCAGCTGTGGGAAACCTAAGATACTAGTCCATTTCTACTTCTGCAAGCGTGGACGTAAGGCTACACCGCGCTACCTCCGCCAACGTATGGCCAAAGTAAGTATTGATTTCTTGTTAGGTTCTGCTAAGGGAGCCTCTTTTTTATGCGAATGGATAGAGGAGACTAATTTCTTTTCCGAAATTTGCCCGAGTCATTGAATAGGAACGTTAGGTGAAGACGGTAGCCTGTAATATAGTTTAGATTAGTATAGACCATGTCGGCATTGCGCCCGGCACGTCCTTTTGTTACCAGACGTTAAATACATCATCATCATCATCATCATCATCATATCCAACCGAGTCAAGGATATGTTGGATATTCGGCATATCCAACATATCCAGACAAAGTGGACTGTTCAGCACTGTTCAGTTAGGATCGGACTTGTATATAAGGATGGACTCGAGCTGGGCTCTAGGACAGACTTTCCATAGCTTCTTCAGCAATTAACTTCGTATCAGGATTAACATCCGCTTTCAGCTACTACCTTGACAAGACTACGATTGATCACCGAAGCCTTCCCTACCCTTACGATTGACAGACATAGCTTCCCTGAAGCTATCCCCGACTACGATTACTGTTACCAGTTCCGCAGCCTCAACTTCTGCAAACTACCCCTACGACTAGCTGGCCGTAACATACCAGTTCCGCAGCCTCAACTTCTACAAACATACCTCACTGTTACGAGCAGGACAAGGCAACCAACTGTGGCACAAAGCAAAAGCTTCGATAATGATGACTCCGGCATCATTGTCCCTTGTTCTGCATATATAGCTACGCGCCCACAGTGACAAGTTGCGGCGGGAGTAACACTAAATAACTAGTTATTTTAAATTAAAATAATTTAGAGCGATTTCAAAGATTAAAGGATATATTTAAAATTAAGATTTATATATAACTAAGATAAATTCGAGCCGGGCTTAAAATAGACTTTTTATAACGTTGGCAAGCTACGCTGTATGTAATGGTAAATAGAAAAGTAATCTAATGAAGAAATCCAACGCTTGCTCTATTGGTTCTTTGTGCCGCAACAAATTTGATACCTTATGTATCGTAACCCATTGATTGGGATCAATTTCAAAAGGTGTCCGCGTCGGCAGACAACAACTCTTCTCCCATATCGTCCGATCGATCAGTCCGACTCGGCCGAAGCCTCTGGCTGGACCCGCTCCTCCGACAGCTTCGGGTTCCTCAACGCGAAAGCAAAGCCAACCATGGGCACGCAGATACACAGTCCAGCAATGCACAAAAGCCTCTGTACACCACGATAACTGTCAATGATTGCGTCTCTGATCTCTCCGCCGACAGGGTAGTCTTCGATCGTGGAGAACGGCGAGTTGTAGATCAGCGCCGGCAGCGTCTTATTTGGCTGGAACGCGAGGTTGGACTCCAGAGATGGGTAGAGAAGCTGGGTCCACATAGCCCCCGACAGACAGTTTCCGAGGGCGCTGCCGACGTTGAAGATGGCCAGGTAAAGACTCGTAACGACGGCAACATGCTCTCGATCCGACGACGCTTGGATCGAGGCCTGCGTCGGGTACGCGAACAGGCCGCCAGCCAGGCCCATGATGATTTGGCCAGCAATGAGACCAGACTGTGAAGCAGAAGAAGCTCCTCCGGGGTATAATATGAGAAGGCCAAAGGAAGCCGTGAAAATGCAAGCGCCAGTAATGATGATGCCCTTGAGTCGTCGGATCCTGTAAATGACAACGCCCATCAAGACACCGCTGAAAACGCCAAAGAAGGAGAAGAATGACAAGATGCGGGTCGCCGTCTCGATAGGGAAGTCGAAGGCCACGACGAGCACGGTGTATAAGTAGTTCCCTTGCGTCGACCAAGCAAAGTTGAGAAGGCTGCGGACGGCCAGAGCCGACCAGACGCCACGATCTTTGAGGAGGCGGAAGGGGATGAGTGGGACCTGAGCGTAGCGGCGCTCCCAGAAGACGAAAGCCGGAATGCAAAGCAGCCCAAAGGCGAGCGGGATGATGATTCCAGGGGTCTTCCAGTGGCTCACGGTTCCTCCCGCCAGTGTCAGAGGCGCCAGTGTGAAGGAGAAGGCGGCAATGAGGATAGCGAGGCCGACGGCATCAAGTTGATGAAAGAGGTCGATGGTTGCCTTCTTCGACTCGGCATGACGATCAGCCTTTCGCGAGCGCTGACCAAAGGTGTAGAGGCTTGTGAGGAGAGGGATGGAGCAGATGGGTAGGATGATGGCCCACATTCCGATGCCCCAGCGCCATGATGTGACTCGCAAGACGGCCGAGGTGACGTTGCCGCTGATCCAGGTGTTGAACACGAAGGGGATGGCGGGGATGTAACTGAAGAAGACGCGAGATCGCATCGACGAGAAGTCTGCGACTAGAACCTCGAGAAGGAGGACGATGCACGTCCAGCCAATCTGATATAGAACGGCACCTAGGCAGAAGACTTCCACCGAGGACGCACTGGCCTCGAGGGCGGTACCGACGACATAGAAGAGAATAGAGGCGGCGATGGTCTCGAAGCGGCCGTAAATATCGGCAACCTTGGCCGCAGTTGGCTGCGAGGCCACGGCGATGACACTCCGCAGGACGTTGATGGTCGAGTGGGATGAGTGTAGGTTGAGGCTTGACGTGGCGTAGGGCTGGTAGGTTCCCCGCACCTGGCTGTCGAGGCCGTAGGCGTAGCCTACCAGGAAGATCCCGACAAAGAGCCAGACGCGCTCGGCACTGCTGATCTGGTTCGCGACGGTATCGGAGTGTGCGACACCGCCCGAGGGCGCATCATGAGGGTGGAGGGTTGTGTCGGCTTGGCTCGGTGCTCCGACGGTGAGGTCGGACTCGAGGAGCGGCGAGGTCTCGCCGCCCGGGGAAGGGCGGCGCTTCGACCATAGTTTCGACATTCTCTGTCTCCTCTTGTTCTCCCTTGCGTTGTTCGTTTTTTGGCGAAAACCTTATGTCTCGGTACTTCTGGAACGCGCGCCGCGAGCGATGAGGTAAGGGACTAGAGGTCTGGGCAACCTTTTTTCGTGATGTCTCGTTGACGAAACGTCCCTGTGCAGCACACCGAGTTCAACGATGGATGAGAGCTCGCGACCGTAGCATTCGCAGTCATCGGCGGGAATAGGAGGAAAAGATTCTTCTCGGCTGTGTATCCGTATCGAGCGCCTGCTCAGGGAGGGTCAGTCAGCAGGGGTTGTTTGCGTACTGTAGTATGGAGGTGAGTTGGCAAAGATGGGTGTTACTTGGGTTCTTCGTACATTTGCGAACTCAGATATTCCGAGATGGATGGGCAAACCGGCCGCAGAGGTCCATGAGAAATGTTGCAGAAGCGACGTTTGGCAGCAGGCCTACCCAGCGGCCATGATGTGGAAGATAGGCAGGCAAACAGGAAGGATTTCAGTCAACCACCCACAGCTGGCAACCCCGGCCTCATGATCAGGGAACCAACGAATGCTCTGTCAGCAGGCCATGCAGGCGTGGCAGGCGCGGGTGGGCAGCACGGCAGGCGAGGACCAGAGCCTGAGGTGGACGGGACGGAAGGAACAAGTGACAAAGTGACAACACACAAAGTCCTTCCTTCCTACCTTCCAGGTTTTAGGTACCTTTTGGTGCCTTCCTGAGGTGACCGATCAGATTAGATCATCTGATAAAGAAGGCGCCCCACCAGCACCGTGGCCAATCACGCAATTCGGGATGGTCCGTCGCCCGCCGTAAGCGCCGATTTAATCCGCGGCCTTCTGCATTCTTGGGACACAACATAAAGTGGCGTAAAGTCAAAGTTGAAGAGCTTTTATTGTCTGGTATTGCGAACAGTCGCCTATGTCTTTGAAGCAGCGTAATGGGTATCACTTCTCTGCTGAGACTCAGTTGTCATTCGTCATAATGCCCCGCTAAAATGTCAGCTCGGCCAGAACCTCGGATTTTCGGCACATGACTCTTTAGCCCGACCTCCTCGCCGAAGCTAGAGTATTGCATGTCATCCGGTGTACATGGCGCTCCAAGAAGGATGATGATGTTGCACGTGAAAGAGATGTTCTCTCTGCAAAGACGATGAAAGCGGTACTTGTCGAGCTTCAGCTGAACAGAGACTCGAATCCAACTTTAAGTGTTCCCTTCTCCAGATGCCCACAACGGGCGGAAAGCAAGCATTAGGGGTCTTCGGATGGCACCGAGACATCTGCGCGCCCACTGCTGATTGGCGCTTTGACTCCGCCGTTGCGCTAACTGGAGTTTGTCCCAAGCCCCGAAGCCCCAAAGCCCACAACTGCAACGACGCTATTACGCACGATGACATCCTTTGAACTGTTTTTTTGTGCGTGGGTAGGAACCTAATCCGGCAGAAGAGACAGTTGTAGTCCGGTGCTCGCTGTTCAGTTGCAGTTATTGAGGTGAAGACGTATTGTCCATCTTATCTACCAGATTGATGTGAGATACTCGCGATGCAGCAGAGTCATTGGCTTCTGGAAGCAGGTCCCAGTATAAGGTACTGCACTATATCCTAGGTACCAATCATCCGCACCGCCAAGACAATATCCCGATCGTCTCTGCGCCAAGTCGCCTGATGAGAAGGGAGCATGGCAGACCTGATGCAATGCGAAAACCAGCAGGGCTTCATCTCTGAAATCTGGTAGTTAGTTAAGGTATGCTTGGTTCTCAACTGCACTGTGTAATACAACTTTGACTGCACCCCAGAACTATGTGTATCGTCCGTGCGATTTTGGGATGACAGAAACACCAGCGCAGTTCTAGAACCTCTTATGAGCAATTGAAACACCTAGAACTTCTTTTGTTTTATTTTGGTCAAGCTGCATCTCTCCAATAGCTAGCTATCTACGTTCCCCTTTATGCCGCGCCACCGCGACCGCCGACACCAAACTGTGCCTGAGCCTCCGCAACTCCCGCTGGGATCGGCGGCAGCTCACGTCCACGACCCGTAGGCAACGGCATGAACTTGGTCTCGGCCAGGAAACGCAGGTATCTTCCGATATCCTCGCGGGTAATACCCTCACCCGCACTATCATCAACCCCAGTCCAGCGCTCGGCATCAGCCTTGAGCACGGCAACAGCATTCCTGTCGTCGAGCTCGGGAGCGCGCGTCGTGGACGGCAGGTCAGACGTAGCCATGTGGAACAGCGGCATCAGCGCGCTCTGCTCCTGATCCTTCTCGACGGCGCCGGCAGACACAAACTCCTCCAGCTGCGTCTTCCACTCCTCGTAGTCGACCTCGGGGACGTCGTAGCCGTAGTAGCTCAGAGTCGAGAGGAACTCGTTCATGCGGAGGCGGGGATGCGCCGTCACGTGCACGACGTTGACGCCGGGAAGGGGGTTGAGTGCCGCGGCGATGACGACATGGGCGACATGGTCTACGGGGACAGCGTTGACCGAGTTGACGATGCGCGGGCGGGCCTTGAGCTGGACACAGCCCTTGCACAGTCTGATGAGGAAGTCATCCGTGTTGGAGACACCACCGTGGCGGCTGCCGAGGATGTATCCGGGGCGGATGACGGCGCCGCGCAGGCCGCGCTTACCAGCTTCGCGAACGAGCTGTTCCGAGACCTGCCGGACGGTTAGCTTGATGCCACAGATTGTGTCATGTCAGGTGAACATACCCATTTGGTCTGGCCATAACCAGTACCAAGGCCAAGGCGGCTGCCTTGCAAGTCGTCTTCCTCGAGGACGGCTCCACGACCGGTGGCCGTCTCCTTGTCAGAAAGGTTGACGTAGTGCTCGGTGTCCAGCGTCGAGGTCGAAGACACAAAGGACAAAATCTTGGGCTTGCCCTCATTGCAAAGCTTCATCGCGTCAATGGTAGACAAGACGTTGCTGCGCATCATCTGCTCGTAGCGCGCAATCCAATGCACGTACGCCGCGTTGTGAACAATGACGTTCGCAGTCTCGGCAACTTGCTTCCAGCTAGCGTCGTCCAGACCGAGACGGGGCTTGGACAGGTCACCAAGGACACAGTCGATCCTGTTGGCCCATGAATCCTGCCACAAGGCGTAGCCCTTGAGTG